TCACAGACCCTTCTTAAAAGTTACTTCCTTTTAAATATTCTGAAAGTTTGTCTTAGCTAAATTTAGTCGTTTTGTCTAATTTATTTAATAAATTTTTATATTCTTGAATAAATGTGATTTTATTCTGAATACTACAGTATTATGTTATAAAAAATAATCCAGTAATCAGAAACTGTTAATGAAGTTAAAGCAGCTCACAAAAATGTAATGATACTTTCTTTTCAATAATGATTGAACATTCTTTGAAAAGAATTTAAATAGTATAAAAAATATTTAATATTTCCTGTCATAAAATTACAAATTATTGGTATGCAATTTTAAAAAATTGTAGACCTATAAATTCCCACTGTTGTCCATCTGTTTTTCCTTAATCTTGAGAACGGACTTTAGATAGATGAATGACGAGACCAGATAAGGAAATCTTAGGGGCAGGAGGGCTCAATTAACTATATATGAACTGCCAATGCTAACCAGAAGTCATATTATTTCAATTAAAAACTTTTCCCCTGAAAGCAGTTAATAGATGACCAGCACAACTGCATTGTCAATGGAAAAGTATGATGTACAGGGTAAACATATTAAAATACTAATTTGAGGTGCAGAGCATATATTTTAAATCAAATAAATTAAAATTATGATTAAAAATTACAGCCAGCATTGTGACGATGTCACAATAAATAATTGTTTGTCAAATAATTTCAATTAATGCATAATATTATAGCAAAGAATAACATCTTTAAAATTTTGTAAATAAGAAAATAAATCTAAATAAATTTATTTTCAGTACAGTACATATGAAATATTATGTGTGTTAAATAAATGAGTTTCTTTATGATGATTTATCATAAATATTTCCATGCATGGAAAGCTAGAACTTCTTTAAAAATAAGTTTCACTAAACCTTTCATTCTTTTTTCTAGCAGTTTCTTAATCCATAAGAGAACAAATGTTTTCGACCATTTTAAATGGCGTTCTTCAGATTCTATGACATTGGAACGTCAGTTAACAAATATTCAAATGATGTCATTGTGTACAAAAGTTGTTTCAAATTGTTTACAAACTTTTGTTTAAAACAATGACGTCACAAGAAAGAAGAAACTTTTGTAAGCAACGATGTCATTCGAATATTTGTTAACTGATGTTCCAATGTTATAGAACCTGAAGAAGGCATTTAAAATGACCAAAAACGTTTGTTCTCTTATGGATTAAGAAACTGCTAGAAAAAAAAGAGTGAAAGGTTTTGTGAAACTTACTCATAAATATTTGTTCTAATGCTTCCTATTATTACTTCAATAAGAGAAATTATAGTTTTTGAAAATGGGCACTTTAGACACTCATTAGTATTGGTGCATTTTTGTTTTTGTTTTTTTTTAACTCAGTTGTTGCTAATTGTATTTAATGGTATATAATATGAAAATTTGGCAGTTACAAGCTTTTTTTATTCAAAGCCTTATTGCTTTTACTATTAATTATTGGAATAGAACTGAATCCAGGCCCTTTGTCACATTTGTTAATGAAATGACGTCATCCACCTTTCACTCTAAGTAATAATCTTACAAAAGTGTTTATTGTTTAATTACAAGTTTTTCAAATTTTCAACAAATATGCAATGTAACAGTTTTAGTTATTAAGTAAGGTGTATGAATTAAAACATATTTACTTAATAACTTAAATATTAAAAGCAGTTTAAAATTTTCCATATCTTTTATTTTATGTACTGCACATCTTTGAAAATTTACAGTGAAAGATTCATTCAAGCAAGTTAAAGGTAAATGAGAAGAATAAAAACAATGTGAAAATTGGCATCGTACTGTATTCATGGTGTACTGTACATCAGTTTTAATGAAGAATAATTAACATGTGCTAAATTAGTTAATGCTGTTAATGCAAATATACATTAAATGCATTTTATAACAATTCAGAAACTCGTGTCTTCTAAATTCAATACAAAATACTTAAAAATATATCTAAAATATTATTTTAACTCTAGCATGTAGATTATTTATCCATTGTCATGGAGACAATATTTCTGCAGTAAATTACATATGAATGACATCTGCATATTTGACATGAACAAATTTTTAATATTATTTTCAAAAATCACTAAACAGTAAAATTAACAATTGATGTTATAACAGTTTAAATGTATGAATTATAAGAATAAACAGTAATAATAAATTAATGTCAATTATCCAGATTTGTAACATACAACAAGAATTTATAACATTTAAGAAATTCACTCCTAAAGAATATTGTTATCACTTCAATATTCAATACAAAATGATTAAATTTAATCTCTTGTTATGCATAATAAAATCTTTAAGGAATTATATTTTTATTAGTAAAAATCAAGATAAATACATTAAATTCAGTCACCTTTTATATACTTTCAGTCCCATGAATAATGCTATAGTGGCACTGACTGGTATTTTATGCTACTTGTCGTCCATTGAACAATGGTAAAACTTACATTTAAAAAGCATGAAAAATATTATTTAAAAAAATGTAAAATACATTTTTAAAAATAGAAATGGAAACAAAAGGATATCTTCTATGATTCATCCCTGTTCTTCAAGAATTAAATTATTATTGGAATTTATTCTTGTAATTTATACAGTTAGATCATTACATTAGTTGTGAATTTTGGTCTTAAAGGATTTGTAGATATAGTATTAATTTAAAAGTTTTATAAATTAATGCTAAAATGTTAAATTTATTTTTGTCAGATATTATGTAGATTTCATTCATCTTACAAATTTATAATAAATGTGGAAATATAAAATATTCTAGAACATTGTCTTTGTAATGATGAACAATAATTTTTAAAAATATTACAGAAATATTTTTTCTTGCTGGTTTTTAAGTATCTTGTAGTGAATGCATTTAAATGAATATCAGCTTTTGAAAATTATAATAAATTTCTTTAACTTGTTTCTAACTAATTTTATCAGTATGCACTATGTTTTAAAGCTATGGATTGAATTATTAAATAAAATTATACAATTATTTTCTTTTGAAATAATAATGATTTGTTTTAATTACCTGATTTATATTCTTTTATATGAGATATCTTGATAAATATTTACTTAATTTTTATTTCTTGTTCTGTTTTAAAATGTTTACAATTAACTGAATAAATGCATTTTTATGAAAATTTTTATAATTAATGAAATATTACTAACTGAATTAAAATAACAATTATAACTGATAGAAATTGATTTGATAAAAACTAAATAACTTATAATATATACTAACTGCATATAATGCATATTCTTATTTTATTATAAAGTAATTATAATATTAATTCTTAATCATTATTTTTGTAAATTGAATTTTGTTGTTGTTCTATTTTAATTACCATTATATATATATTTATAAACCATCTTTTACCTTAATTCATAACAATACTATATTTGACACCAATAACATAAGAAATTTTGTTAAGTGAAAAATATTAGCTTTATAAGTTAATAAATGTGAAAAAATAATTTAAACCTGTGACTTATTAAATTGAAATAAAACTAAATCTAAAACTTTTAGTATTGTGTTGAAATAAGGTCATTCATAATAATTGTTGTGTGTGTAGTATTGTGTTGTGTTTAATATTTGTTTGTTTTTGTTATCACTAACATTCTATGTTCCCTACTAACAATCATATTCTTATTCAATTAAAACCTTGAGTAGATGCAGATTATGCTTCATATTCTACACCTCCATATTCCACTGCTACAAATTCCCAATCTTGCAATCCTGATGATATGGAAAATTCTGAACTTGTTTCTACTCCTCAAAAACGTGCTCTTTCCCCTGGTTCTGCTACTTTTACTGTATCTTTAGAAAGCTATATGGAACCTAGATTATCAGTAGTTGGACAGGCATACTGCTTGGCACCAACAGCACAACGGAGCCGCCGACCTTCACCTTCTGAAGATTCTTATCCTGTATTTTCTCCCCCTCCTTATCCTGCATTACTTAGCACTACTCAAGGTTTTGCACAGGCATCTGGTTCTGGTTCCGGCCCTCGAATGCAACGTGGGTACGGTCCGCTACTTGGTGTGCCAGGATGCTGTCCTATTGCATCGCACATACTTTCTCGTCGTTCTATGTCATCATCTGCACCATCGTCTCACCATGCGTGTAATTTATTTCAAACTTCACATTTCCTATCTGAATAAACTATAGTCTGTAAAACTTTTTAAATTATTAATAAAGCAAAACCTTTTAATATATAAGATATATATGTATATGTGCATATGTATATATTTAAATAAATGAATAAAAACATAAGTTTTGAAACACAAGATTTAAAGACATGCATTTAAATTAAATAGACTATAGTTTGTTTGAATAATAAAATCATTGCCACCATTCAAGAATGGATCTAGAGATAGAATAATTTATCCCTCTTAAATTCATAATTATAATTTTAAAAAAAATAATAAATTTGGTTTTCTAGTTAAATATTTATACATATCATTTAGATTTATAAAATCATCTTTATCACTATTATTTGAAATTGTTATCCCCTAAAAACAAAGGCTGGATCCATTCTTAACCACCATCACACTCTATGGCTAATTCTCACTGAAATTTTTCTAACTTCATCATTCCTATTTCTTAATTTATATTATGTTAAAATATTTAATTTTCCTTTATGTTTGTCTGTCTGTCTTTTGTCTGTCTCTGTCTAATTTTGTCTTACTTCATCTGTACTGTCTTTCTGTTTGTTGCTGTTATTGTCTTAATTGTGTATTTGTGTATATTTTTAAATTGTCTTATATGTTTGCTGTTGCTGTTGCTTTAATTTTTGTTTTTTTGGTGGCAATTCATTTAAATAAAAAGAAACATTGAAAAATAGTTTAATTATTATCTTAAATATTTAAGAAAATCTACAAATTAAAGAAATTTTTTTTAAAATTTGTAAATAAATTTTAAAACTATAAATTTCTCATAAAAATATTTGAATATACTAAAATATGAATGCAATACAATTTATTCAGCAATTCGATCTGGAGATTATGGTATGTTTGAAGATTATTCTGATGAAGAAATTGATTTAGATATATCTAGTAAAAGTAAAGCAGAACCAGATGATGATGAAACTGCTGAAGTCAAGCAACGTGGATTGAATGCAGTAAGTATTACAATAATTGGATTTTTATTATTACAGTAATATTTTCAATTTCCTATTTATTTATGATAGCATATAAATAAGTGTTGAACTGAATCTGGTAAAAAATGAAAAAATAAATAAAAAGAAAATTTTAAAATATAATTAGGAGAAACCTGTAAAATTCATATTTTACTCATCAGAGATTTTGTTTCAAATTCAGAATACTTTTAAAGTTCTAGCCTATTTAAGAAAAAAGAATGTCCATTAGTATACCAGTTTGTACAAATAATTCAAATTTAATATTTAGAATAGAAGTATTTTAAAAATAGGAGGGGTTGGTAGTAATAAAAAGTATCTTAGATATATATCAAATATTATTGGACTCTTGTTTCTTTTTTATATATTACTTTTTTTGTTAAATATTCAGTCATGTTATAAACAGAATAAATATACAGTTACAATACATAAAATTAAGTACAGGTAATTTATTCTTTTTTGAATTCCAAATACTACTTAATTGAAATATATATAATAGATACAAGTATTTAAAATTTTGTACTATTTTTAAATTGTTACTACATTTAAAATTCCAAATTAGAAATTTGATATATTTATGGAATTTTTTCTTTATTAATTCAAAAGAAAATGTGAATTGTAATAATTGGATTTATGAAAATATGGTCATATACGTACATACAAAACAGATTTCAATAGAGCTAAATGTCTTTGTGTGAATTTTTAGAAAAGCTTGTTTTTGTTTACATTTAGAAGAAGAAACAATAAAATAATCAATCAAGAATCTTCAAATACTGGATTAAAATACAAAAATAATCCCTCATCAAACCCTTTAACTGGTATTAAACAAGAGTAAAATTACATGCAAACGTTTTCAGATCCCTCCCTGGGTCCTTTCTCAAGCAACTATTCTTCTTTAAAATTTGTTAGAATGAAGACCAGTAGAACGAACTTCTTCAAAACTGCGATATTCGAAAAACTACTTCTTCCGAACCACATTTCAAAAGTCGAAATTCAAATATCAATGTGAATCACGTGCATTCCAGTATTCCGTAATGTAATGCTCGTTTTTCTTAAAAAGGTTTTTATGGGTTTTTACGTTAACGAAAAAATAAATAAAGAAAAAATAAAATAGCGTATCAGCAGGTATGAGGTTTTAATACCCTATTTACTATACGTATTTATTAATGTGGATCCTCCTTCTGGAGTAGGGCCTGCAATGCTAGGGACAGGGTAATCTCATCCCTCGAGTTAATAGGTGCAGAAGTGTTGTATGCTTTGCAAATTTCCATTTGTTCCAACCACTTGAGGTGGTCCGTAAACGGTGTAGTAATGAGGAGTTTGGCGTTGTCGAAGTTTGCCGAAATCTCCAAGTCTGACGCATACATGGATAACGATGTAGAACCCCTTTTGTGGAGGATGTCCCGTTGGTGTTCAGTCCATCTGACACCAATAGCACGTCTAGTAGCGCTCACAGACCAGTTCCCACTCAAATCTATGGTCTGTGAGCACTACTAGACGTGCTATTGGTGTCAGATGGACTGAACACCAACGGGACATCCTCCACAAAAGGGGTTCTACATCGTTATCCATGTATGCGTCAGACTTGGAGATTTCGGCAAACTTCGACAACGCCAAACTCCTCATTACTACACCGTTTACGGACCACCTCAAGTGGTTGGAACAAATGGAAATTTGCAAAGCATACAACACTTCTGCACCTATTAACTCGAGGGATGAGATTACCCTGTCCCTAGCATGGCAGGCCCTACTCCAGAAGGAGGATCCACATTAATAAATACGTATAGTAAATAGGGTATTAAAACCTCATACCCGCTGATATGCTATTTTATTTTTTCTTTATTTATTTTTTCGTTAACGTAAAAACCCATAAAAACCTTTTTAAGAAAAACGAGCATTACATTACGGAATACTGGAATGCACGTGATTCACATTGATATTTGAATTTCGACTTTTGAAATGTGGTTC